GGATTTAGGGAAGGCAAACTGCAGGGAAGAAAACATGAAACGCTACAGCTGTTTCTTCACCCTTTGCATCAGTACTGCTATGCTTGTGTCAAAGAAAGTATGCAACGCCAAACATTTCAATTTCCGTTTGGATGCTGGCTCTACCAGAGCAATCCAAACGCATTTCTCACCCAAAAAAGTCCTCATCTGCTTTCGCTGCACTTGGTTCCAGCTGTTGCTGGGTAGATGTCTGCACTTGGCTAGTGCCTGACTCGCTTTCCGGTGGTTTTGGAGCACGTCCTGCTGCGGAGTTTGCAGCTGCAAATGGCAGCTTGACTTTCTTGTGAACCGTGAGCCAAAGATCATCCAGCTCCATCTTCTCCTTATCTTGTCTTTTAAAACCGATTTCCTGCTCAGCATTTTTCTCCTTCTTGACCTTCACACCATCAGCAAGTTCTATCTTTACTGAGCTTGGACCCCCGGTCTGCATGGGTTGCTGCATATCTCGGCGGGTCAGGCGCCGGCGCTTGGCAACCAGCTTGGGCTCTGGCTCAGCTGCAGCTTGACTATTCGCAGCCATGTTGCTCTTCTCAATTTCCCTCTTCTGCGTTGCAACTTCAGAGTGGTCGGACTGGCTTTGTAAGCTTTCAAAAGCTTCATCGTGCTTGGGATCTTCTTCCATCTCTTCTTTCATCATGATCTCCTTGCGGGTAAGATCATCCAAACTTGAGGACTTACAGGTTTGCTCCTGTTCTATCTCTTCCTTGATCTCGCCCTTCACCTGCAGCCAAAGATTAAACATCTTCATCTTCTCCTTATCTTGGCTTTCAAACTTGACTTCCTGCTCAGCACGTTTCTCCTTCTTGGCATCCGCACCATCAGCAAGTTCTATCTTTGCTGAGCTTGGACCCCCAGTCTGCATGGTTTGCTGCATATCTCGGCGGGTCAAGCGCTGGTGTGTGGCAGCAGATGATTCCTCGAATGATTCCATCATTCCTTGCTGTGGCGTGGCACGATTCAGGTTCCCAGGCCAACAGCTTTTGAGCGACGCCTGGGGTGCTTGGAAAATTGAGCCCCAAATGGCAGCATACAACGTGCTTAATCCCCATTGTTGTGTGGCAAATCCACATCATCCCCGTCAAGAAATCACGTGGGTTTGACTCTTGAATCATCTTAAATCCAATAAGACCTCCAAAACTACTAGGTCATATCCAATTTATATATGTGTGCATATATGCATATATATATATATACACATGTAATATATTCTTCTAGTCACGGATTAACCTGTACTTAGACCAAAAAATCTTGCCACAGGATCTCCTTCACGATGCCCCGGCTGCTGCGGCGCGAGGGCAAGGCCCATGCCGCCTGCTGCGCGGCACCTCCGCGCGCCACAGGGGGCGTGAAAAACGTGAAAAACGTGAAAAACGCAAAAAACGTAGCCTGGATCCCTCTGGGAAACTAACATCGCTATGCAGAATCATGGTGAATCAGCATGTTTTCATGGGTAAATCATGGTAAATCATTTATAAATGGATGATGTTGTACAGCAATATTTAGTTTCCCAGGGAAGTATGGACTTTACATGGTTTTAATGGATTTATTGATCAACTGGATGGGATTTGTTGATGGCAATAATGGGGATCAACCAATCTGTCTATATCTGCTGTATCTAAAGTATCCAAACATGTGGCATTGAACTGAGAAAAATCAAGATACTGCAATGTTCATTAGCAAAACATGATTTGGAAACTAAAAAAGAAAAGGTCTAAGTAGTGACCAAGCGACAAATATGGGGAGTAAGCTGACAATACCTGGAGGCGAACCAAGAAGAATTGGAGATAGTTAAGTATGATAATAACTTAATATAACTTAACTAATAACCAGCAAAAAGTTGGATAATCCAACCAAAAGAAATGAGCCCACCCATCCAAAACTAGGCATGGCACCAACAACGGTTACACTGCTCCTTCCATCAGTTGATTTGTTCAGGAAATGTGGTATCTCATCTACCAAGAAGTTTTTTTTTTACAACCCACCCGAATTAGGTTGTTTCAAATGTTCCTCTAAAATCGGCTGAAATTTTACCCCTTTTTGTCCATCAACTCCCTGCCTCCCAGGTTGCAAGCGCCCTTCTCTTGCAGGGCTTCCCAAATGCTCTCCACAAACGTCACGCGCGCACAGGTCTGCCATTGGGTGTGGAAAGGGAAGTGACTCGTGTTTTAAATCTGAGACCCACTGGGATCATGCTTCACCTATGAAGGGGTCAGCATGTTTTTCCATTGAAAAAAAGTGTTGTTTCAGACCCACTCTAGCGGTAAATCATTCAATGTTGGAGCTACTTCTGTTGATGATCAGTGATGCCCCTTATGGTATCCAAGGCCCTCCATGTGAATATAAGTAACATGCAATCATCGGAAAATGGACAATCTAACGGGGATGCAATGTATTCTATTGGATATAGCGGTCAGACCGCTATTGAGCTCAACTGGACAAAACACAAATGGAAAAAATTGGCTATCAGCATGGGATGCGTGAGGAATGCTAAGAATATTTTTTTCATAATGGCAGCAATCTTGGGATATAAAACGAAGAATCAAGTAAGAATTACTATTAATCACCTACAATTAGGATTAATCAAATGATAGCATGCTTGTAGGCACAGTCCTCTGAAAGCCGGCAAAGTCGAAAGAACCACTGAGTGATAGTTTCGAAAATTATCACCAGAGGAATTCTTAAAATCTCCATCAACCATGTTTCAACCCATTGTCTACTGGGGGCCCGCCACTGCACCGGCATGAATAGATAAAAATGTCTGGAACTGGCAAAACATGACAAGTAAAAGGCATGATCAAGTGGCTAGTCTAAGGCTGCGAAGTATGAGAAGTTCTAGATGACAATTTCGATCAATCTGACGAGTGATGTTTTTCTGATTGAGGATGGCTAAAGAATCAACTGCCAGAGAGATCGGTTCTTTGGCATATTTTTTTCCACAGAAGGGATCAAATGAAATTATTCGAAATTGTTTGAGCCACATACATCCAGTATCTCCACATTTAAATCATTTCCCCCATCACTACTACTGGCATTTGACCGATCCACACCGTGCCATCCTCCCTTGGCCTCGTCTCAGGGTCTTCTTCCAGCTGTCGCAAGATCTCATCACCATCGATCAAGAAGTTGCCTCCCTCAGCAGGGAGTGGGGCCTCCAAACGACAGGTACGGTAACCTTGGTTTAGTTCACAAGGCTACCCTCTGGTAAATGGAAAATCCCCGAACAAAATTAGTAAATGGAGGTTTATAGCTGAGAAAATCAATTGTAAATGGGGTATGTTCAATTGCCCCGTTTGATTACTGGAGGGTAACTGGGTTTATCATGAAGACCAACTTGTAGCTGGATGTAGCTGGGGGGGCCTTCCAACAACAAATCAATGTTTGGGGATGAAACCAGCAACCAATGAGGATCATAAACCAATGGAATTTTGCCAACAAGAAGATGTCCTTCTTAGAAGGTGGCTGGTTTTCCAAATCCAGAGGTTTCTTCCCTCAGCAAAACCATCGAATCGCCAGGCACACCTCGCAGGCGCGCAGAGGAGTAAGAAGCTGTCTGGGAACCTGCAGTGATGGCTGGATGCGAGTTCTCAAATGTCAATCCAGGTTGCTGACGTATACCCTCTAGTATCATCAAACATGGCTGGCTGGGAAATCCCTTACAAATGGGTATTTAAATGGAAGCTTCCTAAAATGTGAGTAATTACCCCAAATCATCCAAAATTAGCAATTTGTGTACTAAAACCCATGGTTTTGGGGCTCCCCCATTTTAAGGAAACCCCCAAATGGGAGAATCATCTATTGATGGGGATTCTCCATTTCCACCCTTGATTACTAGAGGGTAATCCCTTGGCAGTTCCTTCCGCTCATGACAAATATGCACAATAAGAGATGACGGTTCATAAATAGATTCTGTACGAAGCCAGGGTTTCCATGGGGGGCATGTATAGAATACTCACAATAAGGGAAGTTGATGAGGTCTGCGATCCAGTGTGAAAACAGGGTTTCAACTTTCCTTTCGAGGGGGTTTAACATTAGGAACATGGGATTAGATATGGGTCAAGTTTTTAAGACTCTCAAAATCAGAATGTCGTATCATTTTGTAGCATCTTGGCATTGACTCTCCTGTTCTTGTAGGGGTACAAGTTATCCACACCTAAAATATCAAGTTTGGTCCAATTCGTTTGATGTTTTCCGTGGTGAATTCCAGTGTGGGAGCCCCAACTGGACGCCCGAAATTGGGAAACTCTGCCGGATGGAACCATCCCGAAATGGGTGTCAAAAACACTTGAGCCATACCGCCATATGTGTTGAATATATATATATATCCGATGGCACTGCAGATGTTCTATGGATTTTCCAATTCAAAAGACATGTTCCTCGGGATTTGTTCATAAAAACCACCGTTTTTGGGTGATTGTTCTATCTTCACAGGTCCCAGAAAACCCACGATTTCCTCCACTGCAGGCAGGACCCAAGGAGCTCATCTCCATAGGCATTGCCATCAGGCCTTGAAGGTATCGTCCTGTCCGTGGTCAAGCTACATTGACAAAAAACGGGTGTGGTCATCTCACCATGATGGGGAATCCTTCTGATGACTGTACTAATCCCTACAAATGGTGGTTGAATAACCGTATTTCTCTGATTCAATCATCGATTTCAGCCTCACTTTGGATGCGTTCATCATGATTTGTATATTTCCCTATCCATCCCTATTCATCCCTATCAATCCCTGTCCATCCCTATCCATCCCTATCCATCCCTATGCCTATTCCATCTCCGAACCGCAGGAATAGGACTTGAGCTCAAGTCTGCAAAACAGGATCTTCCCATTGTGATTGCAAATGAATGGATGGCAAGAAAAGCACTCTTGATTTCTTCCTGCGCATCATGTGGAGTGAGGATTGACTGTACGGACGCCGCGTCGGAAACTGAGCCATGCAGCTTGGCATCTACGGCTTTTGCACTCACTTTCGCTGCTTCCTCCCAGGCTTCACCTTGGACTTCACAGCCTTGCTTTCTTTCTCCTTCTTCTTCTGATTCTCCTTCTCCTGCTTCTCCTTCTCCTGCTTCCTCCTCCATGCCACGGCGACTTGGAAAGAGCGCTCCAGCTCCGCCTCCGAGTGGTCCTTGGGCTTCACCCTGAAATGTCGATTGGCTCCCACCACGTTGCATCGGGCGTGCCACTGCTGCTCAGTCTGCTCCCAAATGACCCCAAGGTAGGGCACCTTGGGGTGGAACACCGGCAGCTCCGACAGCTTGGCCACGGGCTTCACCTCACGCTGCAGGCCGTCCTTCTCCCGGAGCTCCAGGGCCTTCGCCTCGGCCTCCGCCTTCTCGGTGAAGAAGCCGCCTTGGATCCTCTTTCTGCCGCCCTTGCGGCGGATCTCCACGTGCCACTTTTGTTCTCTCTTCTTCCACGACACCCCCGGCACTTCGCTGGTGAAGTTGGGGTCCCGCGGCTTCGGCTCGCTGAGGATGCCCTTCTCCACCAGCTCTGCTCGGAAGGCCTTGGCGGCCTCGAGAGCTGCTGCGTCGGCCTGGGCCTCGGAGATGCCTGGGCCCATGAAGTTTTTCACTGAAAACTTTCGATTTGTCCTCCCGCTCCGTTTTCCTTTTGAATCAACTTTGGGAAAATTGACCTCCCAGGAACAAAGGATGTTCCAGCAGATGTTTGGAATCCCGCTTTGCTTCGCCACATTGATTCTCTGGAATCGACTTGGCTTCTGCCCCTCCGCAAGTGGCGGGGGATTCTCCTCAGCAGCCACTGCGATTGGGGTGTCTCTAATCTTTTCGTCTGAAGGTTTCACCTCCTCTGCTGCAAGACCCACAGATTCGAAGACTTCCACGCCTTGCATGGCATTGCTGCCGCCTGAGGATGAGAGCCGTCGGAGCCCGTTCTCATCAAAAGCCCAACCACGACCGGCCCAAACGGAAGTTGGCAGATCCCTCATCCACGGCCACCTCTTGGTACAATCCATGCTGCGGACCTTGTTGTCCTGATGCTGGCAGCACAAAACAAAGCGTAGCACTCTGGGAAAACGCAACGCCTCGCTCGTCTCTGCTACATTCCAATCATTCCAGAGCACGATCTAAGTGATAAAATGAAGTTGAATATCGGAAAATCTGGTGGTAAGACAAATTGCTTCGTTAGTTGGTAATAATCTCTAACAATCTGCAACAATCTGCAACAATCCTGCTACGCACACCATGATGCATCACATTTCTGCAAATACCTTTCAACGATAAATTGTGCAGTGTAAGGAGAGTCGGTCCTGCATGCTCAAGTCGCAATCTAGTGTTGGCTCTTGTGGCGACATGTCCAGGGGCGTCCGAGATGCCTCTGCCTTCAGGGAAGGGCTTGAAAAGCATATGGCACCAACTGTTTGAAGTCACCTGCCTTCACTCTCAGCTGTTGTCTCTTTGATTTACAAGAAACAAACATTTGAATCCAAAACCTAGTAAAGCGCGTATCGAAGCAATGTAAACCACATACTATGAGACACAGTGCAGAAGTTCAGCAAACAACATCCCTCCTGACTCTGGAACGTCATGCTATGCAAGTCGTGCTTTTCGTGAGAGCGCTGCAAGCACCGCAAGCCATGTCCAGTGAGACGCAGCACGCATGCTGGCGCATCTGGTGGTGGAGGAGATGGAGTTTCATTCGCCAAGCGCAAAAAGAAATTCGCAGGGCAACAAGGCCTGCATTCGCCCGTTGCTGCAGGGAGATATTTGGGTTCTAGATGAAATCTACCGTCTCTGCTCCTCTAAAGCTTGAAGCTGGATTCACCCAACAGGCCTAGGCTGAAATTTACAGCTGCCAGTCAAACAAAGGCATTGCCGCGTTGCATAGTAGGGATCGAATGGTTAGAATATGATCCACAGTTAGATATGAAACTATATTCTTGGGTCTCTTGCCAAGTTGATCAGCTCAAGGATTGTTCGATTGAAGGCATCAGGATTTGACAGGCAGATCATTTCACTACCGACAGTACCGACAGCCCCGGTTGGTTCTTGATGTTGAGACACGGCAACACGACAACACGGCCTGGTGGGACTCCAAGTCTTGGAACTCCGAAAAGCCAAGCACTGCTTTGCCCAGGTCGCTGCGTGTGAAGCGAATGCATCCAAGGAGCTCTCTTCGGGATTGGCCGAATCCTGGGCAGAAATGTAGTTGATTTAGGGAAGGCAAACTGAAGAGAAGAAAACATGAAACGCTACAGCTGTCTCTTCACCCTTTGCATCAGTACTGCTATGCTTGTGTCAAAGAAAGTATGACAACGCCAAATGTTCCAATTCAATTTTGGATGCTGATTCTACCAGAGCAGTCCAAACGCATTTCTCATACCCAAAAACAGTCCTCGTCTGCTTTCGATCTTGAAGCATCTTCCATGCCAAATGCACTTGGTTCCAGCTGTTGCTGGGCAGACGTCTGCACTTGGTTAATGCCTGACTCGCTTTCCGGTGGTTTCAGAGCATTTTCTGCGGCGGCGTTTGCAGCTGGAAATGTCATCAATGACTGCTCATTGACTTTCTTGTGAACCTTGAGCCAAAGATCATCCAGCCCCATCTTCTCCTTATCTTGTCTTTTAAAACCGATTTCCTGCTCCGCATGTTTCTCCTTCTTGACCTTCACACCATCAGCAAGTTCTATCTTTACTGAGCTTGGACCCCCGATCTCCATGGGTTGCTGCATATCTCGGCGGGTCAGGCGCCGGCGCTTGGCAACCGGCTGGTGCTCTGGCTCACCTCCGTTTTGACTATTCGCAGCCTTGTTGCTCTTCTCAATGTCCCTCTTCTGCGTTGTAACTTCAGAGTGGTTGGACTGGCTTTGTAAGCTCTCAAAAGCTTCATCGTGCTTGGGCTCTTCTTCCATCTCTTCTTTCATCATGATCTCCTTGCGGGTAAGATCATCCAAACTTGAGGACTTACAGGTTTGTTCTTGTTGTTCCTCTTGTTCTATCTCTTCCTTGATCTCGCCCTTCACCTGCAGCCAAAGATTATCCATCTTCATCTTCTCCTTATTTTGGCTTTCAAACTTGACTTCCTGCTCAGCACGTTTCTCCTTCTTGGCATCCGCACCATCAACAAGTTCAATCTTGGCTGAGCTTGGACCCCCAGTCTGCATGGTTTGCACCATGTGTTGGCGGGTCGAGCGCTGGTGTTTGGCAGCAAATGATTCCTCAAGTGATTCCATCAGTTCTTGCCGTGGCGTGGTACGATTCACGTTCCCAGGCCAACAGCTTTTGAGCGACGCCTGGGGTGCTTGGAAAGTTGAGCCCCAAATGGCAGCATACAACGTGCTTGATCCCCATTGTTGTGTGGCGAATCCACATCATCCCCGTCAAGAGATCGCGTGTCCGTGTGTTTGATTCTTAAATCGAACAAGACCTCCATAACTACTAGGTGAGTCATATCCCTTTTGTACATGTATAAATATATATATATATGTATGTGTGTGTGTTTGTGTGTATAATATATCCTTCTAATAAACAAGTATTAATTAACTTGTACTTAGACCAGAAAGAATTACCCCATAGTTTCCCACTAATGATATATCATCCCAAATTTGCTGCTTGAATCATCTCCATCCCCAGCTGCCACAGGATCTCCTTCGCGATGCCCGCCGCCAGCTGCGAGGCGCTGCGGCAAGGCCCATGCCGCCTGCCGCGCGTGAAAAACGTGAAGTTTTCATAGGTAAATCATGGTAAATCATGTATAAATGGATGATGTTGTACAGCAAAGGAAAGTATGGGCTTTACATGGTTTTGATGGATTTATTGATCAACTGGACGGGATTTGTTGATGGCAATAATGGGGATCAACCAATCTATCTATTGTATCTGCTGTATCTAAAGTATCCAAACATGTGGCATTGAACTGAGAAAAATCACGATACTGCGATGTTCATTAGCAAAACATGATTTAGAAACTAAAAAAGAAAAGGTCTAAGTGACCAAGCGACAAAAATGGGGAGTAAGCTGACAATACCTGGAGGCGAACCAAGAAGAATTGGAGATAGTTAAGTTAAGTATGATAATAACTTAATATAACTTAACTAAGAACCAGCAAAAAGTTGGATAATCCAACCAAAAGAAATGAGCCCATCCATCCAAAACTAGGCATGGCACCAACAACGGTTACACTGCTCCTTCCATCAGTTGATTTGTTCAAGAAATGTGGTATCTCATCTACCAAGAAGTTTTTTTTACCACCCACCCAAATTAGGTTGTTTCAAATGTTCCTCTAAAATCGGCTGAAATTTTACCCCTTTTTGTCCGTCAACTCCCTGCCTCCCAGGTTGCAAGCGCCCTTCTCTTGCAGGGCCTCCCAAATGCTCTCCACAAACGTCACGCGCGCACAGGTCTGCCATTGGGTGTGGAAAGGGAAGTGACTCGTGTTTTAAATCTGAGACCCACTGGGGTCATGCTTCACCCATGAAGGGGTCAGCATGTTTTTCCATTGAAAAAAAAGTGTTGTTTCAGACCCACTCTAGCGGTAAATCATTCAATGTTGGAGCTACTTCTGTTGATGATCAGTGATGCCCCTTATGGTATCCAAGGCCCTCCATGTGAATATAAGTAACATGCAATCATCGGAAAATGGACAATCTAACGGGGATGCAATGTATTCTATTGGATATAGCGGTCAGACCGCTATTGAGCTCAACTGGAAAAAACCCAAATGGAAAAAAATTGGCTATCAGCATGGGATGCCTGAGGAATGCTAAGAATATTTTTTTCATAATGGCAGCAATCTTGGGATATAAAACGAAGAATCAATTAAGAATTACTATTAACCACCTACAATTAGGATTAATCAAATGATAGCATGCTTGTAGGCACAGTCCTCTGAAAGCCTGCAAAGTCGAAAGAACCACTGAGTGATAGTTTCGAAAATTATCACCAGAGGAATTCTTAAAATCTCCATCAACCATGTTTCAACCCATTGTCTACTGGGGGCCCGCCACTGCACCGGCATGCATAGATAAAAATGTCTGGAACTGGCAAAACATGACAAGTAAAAGGCATGATCAAGTGGCTAGTCTACGGCTGCGAAGTATGAGAAGTTCTAGATGACAATTTCGATCAATCTGACGAGTGCTGTTTTTCTGATTGAGGATGGCTAAAGGATCAACTGCCAGAGAGATCGGTTCTTTGGCATATTTTTCCACAGAAGGGATCAAATGAAATTATTCGAATTTGTTTGAGCCACATACATCCAGTATCTCCACCTTTTGTAAGATATCTCCCCATTTACATCATTTCCCCATCACTACTGGCATTTGACCGATCCACACCGTGCCATCTTCCTCCCTTGCTCGACATCGACGCGACGCCTCGTCTCGGGATCTTCTTCCAGCTGTCGCAAGATCTCATCGTTATCGATCAAGAAGCTGCCTCCCTCCTCGGCAGGAAGTGGGGCAAACGACAGGTACGGTAACCTTGGTTTAGTTCACAAGGCTACCCTCTGGTAAATGGAAAATCCCCGAACTAAATTAGTAAATGGAGGTTTATAGCTGAGAAAGTCAATTGTAAATGGGGTATGCTCAATTGCCAAGTTTGATTACCGGAGGGTAAGTGGGATTTATAGTGGATGTATCATGACGTATCATGATGCGTCTATGGTCAATAGTGGTAGGTGAGATTATAGACAAACTTGTAGCTGGGGGAGCCTTCCCATGGTAACCCAATGTTTTTGGGGATGAAACCAGCAACCAATTCCGATTCTAAACCAATGGAAATTTGCCAACAAGAAGAAGATGTCCTTCTTGTGGGTGGCTAGTTTTCCAAATCCAGGGGTTTCTTCCCTCGGCAAAACTATCAAATCACCGAGCACACCTCGCAGGCGCACGGAGGAGTTAGAAGTTGTCTGGGAACCTGCAGCGATGGCTGGATGCGAATTCTCAAATGTCAATCTGAGTTGGTGAAGTCTCACAATAGGGGATCACGTATGAAACCAAGGTTTCAAGTTGTTTCGAAGGGTTTTAATATCAGGAAGATAAGATTAGATAAACTCTGATGGAACATCCCGAAATGGGTGTCAAGAATCTTGAGCCATACCGCCATATGTGTTGAATATATATCCTATGGCACTGCAGATTTTCCATGGATTTTCCGATTAAATGTGACATGTTTCATAAAAACCTTTGTTTTGGGGTGATGTTTCTATCTTCACAGGTCCCAGAAAACCCACGATTTCCTCCACCGTTGGGCCCAAGGAGCTCATCTCCATAGGCATTGCCATCAGGCCTTGAAGGTATCGTCCTGTGGCGGCCATCTGTACCATGGTCAAGCTACATGGGAAAAAGGAGTATGGTCATCTCACCATGATGGGGAATCCTTCTGATGACTGTATTAATCCCTACAAATGGATACAAATGGTGGTTTTTTTTCGCAGGCGCAATGTCACTCATAAACACTCCGAGCAACATGACAGCAGCAACAAATGGATACAAATTACAAATGGTGGTTAAATAAGATAATTTCTCTGATTCAATCATAAATTTCAGTCTCACTTTGGATGCGTTCAGCATGATTTGTATATTTCCCTATCAATCCCTGTCCATCCCTATCCATCCCTATCCATCCCATCCATCCCTATCCCTATGCCTATTCCATCCCCGAACCGCAGGTTTCGGACTTGAGCTCAAGTGTGCAAAACAGTATCTTCCCACTGTGATTGCAAATGAATGAATGGGAAGAAAAGCACTCTTGATTTCTTCCTGCGCATCATGTGAAGTGAGGATTGTCTGTACGGTCGCGGCGTCGGAAACTGAGCCATGCACCTTGGCATCTCCGGCTTTTGCACTCACTTTCGCTGCTTCCTCCCAGGCTTCACCTTGGACTTCACAGCGTTGATTTCTTTCTCCTTCTCCTTCTGATTCTCCTTCTCCTGCTTCCTCCTCCATGCCACAGCCACTTGGAAGGAGCGCTCCAGCTCCGCCTCCGAGTGGTCCTTCGGTTTCACCGTGAAATGTCGATTGGCTCCCGCCACTCGGCACTGAGCATGCCACTGCTGTGACTTCTGCTCCCAAGTGACCCCAGGGTAGGGCACCTTGGGTTGGAACACCGGCAGCTCCGACAGGTTGGCCACGGGCTTCACCTGGCGCTGCAGGCCGGCCTTCTCCACGATCTCCAGGGCCTTGGCCTCGGCCGCCGCCTTCTCGGTGAAGAGGCCTCCGTGAATCTTCTTCTTGCCACCCTTCGGGGTGATCTCCACGTGCCACTTTTGCCGATTCTTCCTCCACTTCACCCCCGGCACTTCGCTGGTGAATTTGGGGTCCCGCGGCTTCGGCTCGCTGAGGATGCCCTTCTCCACCAACTCTGCACGGAAGGCCTTGGCGGACTCGAGAGCTGCTGTGTTGGCCTGGGCCTCGGAGACGCCTGGGCCCATGAAGTGTTTCAGGGAAAACCGCCGACTTGTTCTGCGAGTCTTTTGGCCTTTGGCATCTCGTTCGTAAAATTGAACGCACCAAGCTTGCATGGTGTCACCCCAGACAACATTCGGCACCCCACTTTGCTTTGCCACATTGATTCTCCGAAAACCAGCTGGTTTCTGCCCCTCGGCAAATGGGAGAGGACACTCCGCAGCTGCAACTGCGATTGGGGTTTCTCTAATCTTTTCGTCTGAAAGTTTCACCTCCTCCGATGCAACACCCACAGATTCGAAGACTTCCACGCCTTGCATGGCATGGCTGCCGCCTGAGGATGAGAGCCGCCGGAGACCGTTCTCATCAAAAGCCCAACCATGACCAGCCCAAACAGAAGTGGGCAGATCCCTCATCCAAGGCCACATCTTCATGCAATCCAGGCCAAGGACCTTGTAGTCCTGATGCTGGCAGCACAGAACAAAGCGTAGCCTCTGAGAACGCAACGCCTCACTCATCTGTGCTACATTCTAATCATTCCAGAGCACGATTTAAGTGGTAGAATGAAGCTGGATATCGGAAAATCTGGTGGTAACAGGAGTTGCTTCGTTGGTCGGTAACAATCAGTAACAATCAGTAACAATCCTCCTACGCACACCATGATGCATCACATTTCTGCAAAAACCTTTCAACGACAAATTGTGCAGTGTAGGGAGAGTCGGTCCTGCATGCTCAAGTCGCTATCTATTGGGGGCTCTTGTGGCGACATGTCCCGGGGCGTCTGAGATGCCTCTGCCTGCAGGAAAGGGTCTGAAAAACATATGCGGCAACTGTTTGAAGTCACCTGCCTTCACTCTCAAGACTCTCAACTGTTGTCTCTTCGATTTACAAGAAACAAATATGTGAATCTGCAAACCACATACTATGCAGACACAGTAGTTAAGCAAACAACATCCCTCCTGACTCTGGAAGGTCATGCTGTGCAAGCCCTGCTTTTCGTGAAAGCGCTGCAAGCACCGCAAGCCATGTCCAGTGAGACGCAGCACGCATGCTGGCGCATCTGGTGGTGGAGGAGATGGACTTCCATTCGCCAAGCGCAAAAAGAAATTCGCTGGGCAACAAGGCCTGCATTTGCGGGGGTTGCCGCAGCGAGATTGGGTTCTAGGTGAAATCTACCGGCTTTCACATCACCATGTCTCTATTACTCTAAAGCTTGAAACTGGATTCATCCAACAGGCCTAGGCTGAAATGTAAATCGGGCAGAAGAAATGTCTTTTGCAGGCTGCCACTCAAACAAAAGGCATTGCCTGAGAGATCCAATGATTAGAATTGATTGGATATAGTAAAATCATGTTTGGGTTTTTTACCGAATTGCTCAAGGAGTGTTCTCATTGTCGGACTGAAGGGATCAGGATTTGACTGGCAGATCATTTCACTACCGACAGCCTTGGTTGGTTCCTGATGCTGTGGGCCAAGAATAAACTGTGTCACGACAACACGGCCTGGTGGGACTCCAAGTCTTGGAATTCCGAAAAGCCAAGCACTGCTTCGCCCAGGTCGCTGCGTGTGAAGCGAATGCACCCAAGGAGCTCTCTTCAGGATTGGCCAAGTCCTGCACAGAAATGGAGTGGATGTAGGGAAGGCAAACTGCAGACAAGAGAACATGAAACGCTACAGCTGTCTCCCTTTGCATCAGTACTGCTATGCTTGTGTTAAAGAAAGTATGCAACGCCAAACATTTGAATTTTCTTTTGGATGCTGATTCTACCAGAGCAATCCAGACGCATTTCTCACCCAAAAAAGTCCTCGTCTGCTTTCGATGCACTTGGTTTCAGCTGTTGCTGGGTAGATGTCTGCACTTGGCTAGTGCCTGCGCTTTCCGGTGGTTTTGGAGCATGTCCTGCGGCGGAGTTTGCAGCTGCAAATGGCAGCTTGACTTTCTTGTGAACCTTGAGCCAAAGATCATCCAGCTCCATCTTCTCTTTATCCTGCCTTTCAAAACTGATTCCCTGCTCAGCATTTTTCTCCTTCTTGACCTTCACACCATCAGCAAGTTCTATTTTTACTGAGCTTGGACCCGTGGTCCGCATGGTTTGCTGCATATCTCGGCGGGTCAGGCGCCGGCGCTTGGCAACCAGCTTGGGCTCTGGCTCAGCTGCAGTTTGACTATTCGCAGCCTTGTTGCTCTTCTCAATTTCCCTCTCCTGCGTTGCAACTTCAGAGTGGTCAGACTGGGATTTTAAGCTTTCAAAAGCTTCATCGTGCTTGGGATCTTCTTCCATCTCTTCTTTCATCATGATCTCCTTGCAGGTAAGATCATCCAAACTTGAGGCCTTACAGGCTTGTTCTTGTTGTTCCTCTTGTTCTATCTCTTCCTTGATCTCGCCCTTCACCTGCAGCCAAAGATTAAACATCTTCATCTTCTCCTTATCTTTGCTTTCAAACTTGACTTCCTGCTCAGCACATTTCTCGTTCTTGGCATCCGCACCATCAGCAAGTTCAATCTTGGCTGAGCTTGGACCCCCAGTCTGCATGGTTTGCACCATGTGTTGGCGGGTCGAGCGCTGGTGTTTGGCAGCAAATGATTCCTCAAGCGATTCCATCAGTTCTTACCGTGGCGTGGTACGATTCAGGTTCCCAGGCCAACAGCTTTTGAGCGACGCCTGGGGTGCTTGGAAAGTTGAGCCCCAAATGGCAGCATACAACGTGCTTGATCCCCATTGTTGTGTGGCGAATCCACATCATCCCCGTCAAGAAATCACGTGTGTTTGATTCTTAAATCGAACAAGACCTCCACAACTACTAGGTGAGTCATATCCCTTTTATACATGTATACATATATATATATATATATATGTGTGTGTGTGTTTGTGTGTGTGTGTGTAATATATCCTTCTAATAAACAAGTATTAATTAACTTGTACTTAGGCCAGAAAAAGAAAAAAACCTCCCCATCCCCATCTAATGATTACCCCATAGTTTCCCACTAATGATGTATCATCCCAAATTTGCTGGTTGAATCATCTCCATCCCCAGCTGCCACAGGATCTCCTTCACGATGCCCGCCCCCAGCTGCCTTCGGCGCCGCGGCAAGGCCCATGCTGCCTGCGCGTGAAAAGCGTGACAAACGTGGCCTGGATCCCTCTGGTAAACTAACATGGCTATGGTGAATCACATTTTTTAATAGGTAAATCATTTCTAAGAACCAAGAAGAATTGAAGATCGTGGTAATTATGATAACAACACAAAATGGGAGACTCCAACCATGTTTTCATAGGTAAATCATGGTAAATCATTTATAAATGGATGATGTTGTACAGCAACATTTAGTTTCCCAGGAAAGTATGGGTTTTAACATGGTTTTGTTGGATTTATCCATCAACTTGCAACTTGATCGGATTTGTTGATGGCAATAATGGGAATCGACCAATCTATCTGCTGTATCTAAAGTATCCAAAAATGTGGCATTGAACTGAGAAAACTCAAGATAGTGCGATGTTCATTAGCAAAAAAGCAACAAAAATGGGAAGTGAACCGACAATACCTGGAGGCGAACCAAGGAGAATTGGAGATAGTTAATTATGATAATAACCAACAAAAAGTTGGATAATCCAACCAAAAGAAACGAGCACACATCCAAAAGTAGGCATGTCATCAACAATGGTGACACTGGTGATTCCATCAATTGATTTGTTCAGGAAATGTGGTATCTCATCTACCAAGAATAGTGTGTTAAACCACCCAAACTAAGTTGTTTCGGATCTCCCGCTAAAGTCGGCTGAAAATTCACCCCTTTTTGTCCGTCAACTCCCTGCCTCCCGGGTTGCAAGCGCCCTTCTCTGCAAGGCTTCCAGGATGCTCTCCACAGACATCACGCGCGCGCACAGGTCTGCCATTGGGTGTGGAAAGGGAAGTGACTCGTGGCTTAAAACCGAGACCCACTGGGTTCACCTATGAAGGGGTCAGCATGTTTTTCCATGAAAAAATTATGTTTCTGAACAACTCTAGTGGTAAATCATGTTGATGATTAGTGATGCCCTTATGGTATCCAAGGCCCTTCATGTGGATATATGAATGGAGTCGTCTATAAATGGAAATCTGATCGGGATATGGGATATAGTCTGTCTACGGGTTCAACTGGACAAAAACCAATTGGAAAAAATTGATAAAAATGGGGGATCGGCATGGGATGTGGGGGGAATGCTAAGAATAGAATGAAATTATAGAATGAAATTAATAAGTACGGTAATCTTGGGATATAAAATGAAGAATCAACTAAGCATTGATAGCATGCCTGTAGGCACAGCCCTCTGAGAGCCAGCAAAGTCAAAAAAAACACCAAATGATATATAGTTTCAAGATTTGTCATCAGAGGAATTCTTAAAATCTCCATCAAAGATGTTACTACCCCCTTGTCTACTCGGGGCCCGCCACTGCACAGGTGTTGGGAGATGATCAAGTGGATAGTCTAACGGTGCGAATTGTGAGAAATTCTAGATGACAATTTCGATCGATCTGACGAATGTTTCTCTGATTGGGAATGGTCCAAGAATAGACTGCCAGAGAGAGCCGTTCTTTGGTATATATGTTTCCATTGATAGGCATACCATGAAATTGATTTGAAATTGATTTCAGCCACATTCATGCAGTATCTCCACTTTTAGAAAGATATCTCCCCATTTAATCATTTGCCCCATCACTACTACTGGCATTTGACCGATCCACACCATTCCATCTTCCTCCCTTGCTCGGGATCGACGCGCCGCCTCGTCTCGGGGTCTTCTTCCAGCTGTCGCAAGATCTCATAGCCATCGATCAAGAAGCTGCCGCCTCCCTCCTCGGCAGGAAGTGGGGCCAAACGACAGGTAGCGTGGGTTTAATTAACTAGATTACCCTCTGGCAAAGGGAAAATCCTGAACTAAATGGAGGTTTATAACTGGGAAAATCATCTATAAATAAGGGATGTTCAATTACCACGTTTGGTTACTGGAGGGTAACTGGGATTTACAATGGATGTATCTATAGTCACTATATGTCAATAGTGGTAGGTAGGTGAGATTATGGACCAACTTGTAACTGCGGGGGCCTTCCCATGGTAAACCAATGTTTGGGGATGAAACCAGCAACCAATGAGGATTATAAACCAATGGAAATTTGCCAGCAAGAAGATGTCCTTCTTGTGGGTGGCTAGTTTTCCAAATCCAGGGGTTTCTTCCCTCAGCAAAACCATCAAATCACCGCGCACACCTCGCAGGCGCGCGGAGGAGTAAGAAGTTGTCTGGGAACCTGCAGCGATGGCTGGATGCGAGTTCTCAAATGCCAATCTGAGTTGGGGAGGTCTCACAATAACGGATTCCAATTCATGAATTGATCCAGTATGATATAGATATGGGTCAAGTTTTGAGACTCTCAAAACCAGAATGTCGCGGCATTTTGTAGCATGTTGGTATTGACTCTCCTATTCTTGTAGGGGTACAAGATTGTTGTCCACACCTAAAATATCAAGTTTGGTCCAATTCTTTTGATGTTTTCCGTGGTGAATTTCCAGTGTGGGAGCCCCAACTGGACGCCCGAAATTGGGAAACTCTGCCGGATGGAACCATCCCGAAATGGGTGTCAAGAATCTTGAGCCATACCATATCATGGCACTGCAGATGTTCTATGGATTTGTTCATAAAACCTTCGTTTTTGGCGGCTTCTTCTCTATCACAGGTCCCAGAAAACCCGCAAGTTCCCCCACCGTTGGACCCATCAGTGTGGGCCTTTGAAGGTATCGTCCTGTGGCGGCCATCTGTACCAAGCTACATGGAAAAAAGGGGTATGGTCATCTCACCATGATGGGGAATCCTTCTGATGACTGCAGATATCCCTACACATGGATACAAATGGTAGTTGAATAGGGGTATTTCTCTGGTTCAATCATCAATTTCAGCCTCCCTTTGGATGCGTTCAGCATGATTTGTATATTTCCCTATCCATCCCTATCCATCCCTATCCCTATCCCTATGCCTATTCCATCCCCGAACCGCAGGTTTCGGACTTGAGCTCAAGTGTGCAAAAAAGGATCTTCCCAGTGTGATTGCAAACGAACAAGTGGGAAGAAAGGCTCTCTTGCTTTTTTGCAAACATGTCAGGTGAGGGTTGTCTGTACGGACGCGGCGTCGGAAACTCGGAAACTAGGCATCTGCGGCTTTTGCACTCACTTTCGCTGCTTCCTCCCAGGCTTCACCTTGGACTTCACAGCCTTGCTTTCTTTCTCCTTCTCCTTCTGATTCTCCTTCTTCTGCTTCTTCTTCCATGCCACTGCCACTTGGAAGGAGCGCTCCAGCTCCGCCTCCGAGTGGTCCTTGGGCCTCACCCTGAAATTTCGCTCCACACCACCAAGGCTGCATCTTGCACGCCACTGCTGCTCTGCCTGGCTCCAAATCACCCCTGGGTAGGGCACCTTCAGCTGGAACACCGGCAGCTCCGACAGCGTGGCCACGGGCTTCACCTGGCGCTGCAGGCCGGTCTTCTCCATGAGCAACAAGGCCTTCGCCTCGGCCGTCGCCTTCTCGGTGAAGTAGCCGCCGTGGATCCTCTTCTTGCCGCTCTTCGGGGTGATCTCCACATGCCACTTTTGCTTGCCCTTCCTCCACTTCACCCCCGGCACTTCGCTGGTGAAGTTGGGGTCCCACGGCTTTGGCTCGCTGAGGATGCCCTTCTCCACCAGCTCTGCGCGGAAGGCCCTGGCGGCCTCGAGAGCTAGTGCGTCGGCCTGGGCCTCGGAGATGCCTGGGCCCATGAACTTCTTCACGGAAAAGACTCGACCCGTTTTGCCAATCATCCTGCCCTGTGAGTCAATTTTGTGAAAGTTGACCTCCCACGCCTGCAGGTGATTCTTCCACTGGACATTGGGAACACCACTTTGCTTCGCCACATTGATTCTCTGGAATCGACTTGGCTTCTGCCCCTCGGCAAGTGGCGGGGGATGCTCCTCAGCAGCCACTGCGATTGGGGTGTCTCTAATCTTTTCATTTGAAGGTTTCACCTGCTCTGCTGCAAGACCTACAGATTCGAAGACTTCCACGCCTTCCATGGCATGGCTGCCGCCTGAGGATGAGAGCCGTCGGAGCCCGTTCTCATCAAAAGCCCAACCATGACCAGCCCAAACAGAAGTGGGCAGATCCCTCATGCAAGGCCACATCTTCATGCAATCCAGGTCGCGGACCTTGCAGTCCTGCGGAACAAGGGGTAGCCCTCTGGGAAAACGCAACGCCTCACTCGTCTGTGCTGCTGCATTCTAGTCACTCTAGAGCACGATTTGAGTCACAAAATGAAGCTGAATATCTGAAAATCTAGTGGTATGATGAGTTGCTTCATTAGTTGGTAACAATCCGCAACAATCCTCCTACGCACACCATGACGCATCACATCTCTGCAAAAATCTTTCAGCGGCAAATTGTAGAGAGAGAGAGAGAGAGTCCGTCCTGCATGCTCAAGTCGCAATCTAGTGAGGGCTCTTGTGGCGTCACGTGCAGAGGCATCTGAGATGCCTCTGTCTGCGGGGAAGGGATTGAAAAGCAGCTGTTTGAATTCACCTGCCTTCCCTCTCAACTGTTGTCCCAACCACGTTTGATTTGCAACAAACAACTATGTGAATCCAAAACGTAGTAAGTGTGTATCAAAGCGATGTAAACCTCATACAATGCAGAAGTCTGGGCAAACAGTTTGGCATGCGGCAACGTGCCTCCTGACTCTGGAACGTCATGCTGTGCAAGCCCTGCTTTTCGTGAAAGCGCTGCAAGCACCGCAAGCCATGTCCAGTGATACGCAGCACGCATGCTGGCGCATCTGGTGGTGGAGGAGATGGACTTCCATTCGCCAAGCGCAAAAAGAAATTCGCTGGGCAACAAGGCCTGCATTTGCGGGGGTTGCCGCAGCGAGATTGGGTTCTAGGTGACATCTACCGTCTTTCACACAACCATGTCTCTATTACTCTAAAGCTTGAAACTGGATTCATCCAACGGGCCTAGGCTGAAATGTAAATCGGGCAGAAGAAATGTCTTTTGCAGGCTGCCACTCAAACAAAAGGCATTGCCTGAGAGATCCAATGATTAGAATTGATTGGATATAGTAAAATCATGTTTGGGTTTTTTACCGAATTGCTCAAGGATTGTTCTCATTGTCGGACTGAAGGCATCAGGATTTGACTGGCAGATCATTTCACTACCGACAGCCTTGGTTGGTTCCTGATGCTGTGGGCCAAGAATAAACGTGTCACGACAACACGGCCTGGTGGGACTCCAAGTCTTGGAACTCCGAAAAGCCAAGCACTGCTTCGCCCAGGTCGCTGCGTGTGAAGCGAATGCATCCACAGAGCTCTCTTCAGGATTGGCCGAATCCTGGGCAGAAATTTGTAGTGGATTTAGGGAAGGCAAACTGAAGAGGATAAAACATGAAACGCTTACAGCTGTCTCTTCACCCTTTGCATCAGTACTGCTATGCTTGTGTTACTGCTAAAGAAACCATGACAGTGCCAAACATTCTAATTCCGTTTCGGATACTGATTCTACCAGAGCAATCCAGGCGCATTTCATATACCCCAAAACAGTCCTCGTCTGCTTTCGATCTTGAAGCATCTTCCATGCCAAATGCACTTGGTTCCAGCTGTTGCTGGGTAGATGTCTGCACTTGGCCAGTGCCTGACTCGCTTTCAGGTGGTTTTGGAGCATGTGCTGCGGCGGAGTTTGCAGCTGCAAATGGCAGCTTGGCTTTCTTGTGAACCTTGAGCCAAAGATCATCCAGCTCCATCTTCTCTTTATCCTGTCTTTCAAAACCGATTTCCTGCTCAGCATTTTTCTCCGTCTTGACCTTCACACCATCAGCAAGTTCTATCTTTACTGAGCTTGGACCCCCGGTCTGCATGGGTTGCTGCATATCTCGGCGGGTCAGGCGCCGGCGCTTGGCAACCGGCTTGGGCTCTGGCTCAGCTGCAGTTTGACTATTCGCAGCCTTGTTGCTCTTCTCAATTTCCCTCTCCTGCGTTGCAACTTCAGAGTGGTCAGACTGGGATTTTAAGCTTTCAAAAGCTTCATCGTGCTTGGGATCTTCTTCCATCTCCTCTTTCATCATGATCTCCTCGGGGGTAAGATCATCCAAACTTGAGGACTTGCAGGTTTGCTCCTGTTCTATCTCTTCCTTGATCTCGCCCTTCACCTGCAGCCAAAGATTATCCATCTCCATCTTCTCCTTATCTTGGCTTTCAAACTTGACTTCCTGCTCAGCACATTTCTCCTTCTTGGCATCCACACCATCAGCAAGTTCTATCTTTGCTGAGCTTGGACACCCAGTCTGCATGGTTTGCTGCATATCTCGGCGGGTCAAGCGCTGGTGTTTGGCAGCAGTTGATTCCTCAAGTGATTCCATCAGTTCTTGCCGTGGCGCGGTACGATTCAGGTTCCCAGGCCAACAGCCTTTGAGCGACGCCTGGGGTGCTTGGAAAATTGAGCCCCAAAGGGCAGCATACAATGTGCTTGATCCCCATTGTTGTGTGGCAAATCCACATCATCCCCGTCAAGAAATCACGTGTGTTTGACTCTTGAATCATCTTAAATCCAATAAGACCTCCAAAACTACCAGGTCAAATCCCCTTTATGTATATTTATGTACACATGTAATATATTCTTCTAGTCACGGATTAACCTGTACTTAGACCAAAAAATCTCCCATCACTAGCTGCCACAGGATCTCCTCCGCCACCGCCAGCTGCCTTCGGCGCCAGGGCAAGGCCCGTGCCGCCTGCTGCGCGTGAAAAACGTGAAAAGCGTGGCCTGGATCCCTCTGGGCAACTAACATCGTTATGCAGAATCATGGTGAATCAGCATGTTTTCATGGGTAAATCCTGGTAAATCATTTATAAATGGATGATGTTGTACAGCAATATTTAGTTTCCCAGGAAAGTTTGGGTTTTCCATGGTTTTAATGGATGAATTGATCAACTGGATGGGATTTGTTGATGGAAATAATGGGGATTAACCAATCTATCTATATCTGCTGTATCTAAAGTATCCAAACATGTGGCATTGAACTGAGAAAAATCAAGATACTGCGATGTTCATTAGCAAAACATGATTTAGACACTAAATAAGAAAAGGTCTAAGTGACCAAGCAACAAAAGCGGGGAGTAAACTGACAATACCTGGAGGCGAACCAAGAAGAATTGGAGAAAGTTAAGTATGTTAATAACTTAATATAACTTAACTAATAACCAACAAAAAGTTGGATAATCCAACCAAAAGAAATGAGCCCACCCATCCAAAACCAGGCATGGCACCAACAACGGTGACACTGTCGCTTCCATCAGCTGATTTGTTCAGGAAATGTGGTATCTCATCTACCAAGAAACTATTTTTTAACCACCCACCCAAACTAGGTTGTTTCAAATGTTCCCCTAAAATCGGCTGAATTTTTACCCCTTTGTCCGTCAACTCCCTGCCTCCCAGGTTGCAAGCGCCCTTCTCAGGGCTTCCCAGATGCTCTCCACAAACGTCACGCGCGCACAGGTCTGCCATTGGGTGTGGAAAGGGAAGTGACTCGTGTTTTAAATCTGAGACCCACTGGGGTCATGCTTCACCTATGAAGGGGTCAGCATGTTTTTCCATTGAAAAAAGTGTTGTTTCAGACCCACTCTAGCGGTAAATCATTCAATGTTGGAGCTACTTCTGTTGATGATCAGTGATGCCCCTTATGGTATCCAAGGCCCTCCATGTGAATATAAGTAACATGCAATCATTGGAAAATGGACAATCTAACGGGGATGCAATGTATTCTATGGAATATAGCGGTCAGACCGCTATTGAGCTCAACTGGACAAAACACAAATGGAAAAAAATTGGCTATCAGCATGGGATGCGTGAGGAATGCTAAGAATATTTTTTTGATAATGGCAGCAATCTTGGGATATAAAATGAAGAATCAAGTAAGAATTACTATTAATCACCTACAATTAGTAGTAATCAAATGATAGCATGCTTGTAGGCACAGTCCTCTGAAAGCCGGCAAAGTCGAAAAGAACCACTGAGTGATAGTTTCGAAAATGATCACCAGAGGAATTCTTAAAATCTCCATCAACCATGTTTCACCCCCTTGTCTACGGGGGGCCCGCCACTGCACCGGCATGAATAGATAAAAATGTCTGGAACTGGCAAAACATGACAAGTAAAAGGCATGATCAAGTGGCTAGTCCAAGTCTGCGAAGTGTGAGAAGTTCTAGATGACAATTTCGATCAATCTGACGAGTGCTGTTTTTCTGATTGAGGATGGCTAAAGAATCAACTGCCAGAGAGATCGGCTCTTTGGCATATTTTTTCCACAGAAGGGATCAAATGAAATTATTCGAATTTGTTTGAGCCACATACATCCAGTATCTCCACCTTTTGTAAGATATCTCCCCATTTAAATCATTTCCCCATCACTACTACTGGCATTTGACCGATCCACACCGTGCCATCCTCCCTTGGCCTCGTCTCAGGGTCTTCT